TACACGTAATCTTGCAATATTTTTCTGCGTATTTTTCATGCCAGGTCTCAGCAAGCTTTTCAGGACTGGGACTCACCCTCTCAGGTGTCCGTAAAGCAAATATGCACATCTGTGGTGCTGCAAAAATAAATATTTCACTGAAAGAGTCAGCAAAGGCCTGTTCTTGTATTGGAAACCCTGACCACGGTTAAGGTCCTGTTGTGCTCCTTCACGTACAGCATCAGACAATTCCTGTCCCAAAGAGCTTACTCTCTGTACGGACACAAAAGCCAAAGGGTTAGTGGAAGGGATACCACAGCAAGGCAGAGTGGGAGGGAAGGAGAGGTAGGCACTCGCCAAAAGCAAAAACAAAGGGAACGGAGATGCAGGGGAGGCAGTGGCAGGACACGGGCAATGCCACAGGGTACAAGATCGATTCGAGCGTGCCGGATGTCTTCAGGCACTGGCCTGGTGGATGCACAAGAGGGTTATCCAGCACAGGCTGGATGGACACGTGTCTAGGACAGTTCTGACGGGGCTGATCCTTCTTCAAGAGGAGGGTATGACTAACGTCACCTCCTGAGAGCGCCGCCAGCCCTACTTTTCTAGGACTCTGTGGGGAAAGGAAGATGGAGGGCAGGTGAGCGAGACTGCGGTGATGACGAGGGAAGGGTCCGAGTCAACGGTCAAACAGCAGACCAGAAGCAACACGCAGAGGAAAGAAAGACCAGAGGAAGTGTGGGCTGGCCAACAGTACCTACGCTGTGCTGAATATACGAAGTGCTAGAAAATGATAAACGAGTCTGAAACACGAGGCTCTACAGGTCTCAAATTGGGCACCCAGTAGTGTATAAAATGGGGATTGCATGTACCGCCTGGCCTCACGTGGGGGTTATGAAGATAAACCACTAATGTGTGTAAAGCACATTGATACTAGAATAAGAACACCATGAAGAAAATGGTAATTCCACGTGCAATGACGGGTTTTCTTGGCAAGAAGAGAAAGTACCTTAATTCTACCATTCTCTCTCTTTTTTTTTTAATATTTGACTTCACAACCTTAGCATTCTTTTAACACAGTTTTAGGAGCTGTACAATATGTTATATACATTTTTCTAATCTCTCACACAAATGTGTCATGTTCTACTATTTATGTCAGAAAAAGCAGCCCATATACAGTCAAAGAAGAATGGCTGGTACTCGGAGGCCTGCTCCTTCACCGTACACTATGCAATATTAGCAATAAATAAGGTGAGAGCTCTCTGGGGACTACTTATCCACCCTGGGGAGATCTTGTACAGAAGTTGGCAGTTCAGGAAAAATGAGCTAAACACTTCCACGTTACAGCAAACCAGCACAACCAATCTTTACAAAATATCTGCTGTGTAAACCTGAGGCATTATATTACCATATAGGTAATATATGTTCAAGAGATTCTAGCTCAGATTGCTTCAGTGCCTTTGCAACTCGGAGGCAAAAGGCAACTAAAACCCTCGTACAATGAACTCATTGAATCATCATCGACCTTAGAGAAAAAAGAGTTGCTGCTGACCCCTAGCGTCAGCAAATTTAGCCTCAACCTGACTGGTATGAGCCTATTCCACCTGTTGCCACATCAAAGCAATAACTGTTTGGACCAGTGGTTCTCAACCAGGGTGCCACAGCACATTAGGGTGCTTTGAGATCCCTTCAGGGGTGCCACGTAACGTTAGCATCGCTAGGCGCACAAATGTGATCCACAAGGTGAACCCAACACGTTGAAATAAGAATCCAGAGTGTTAAAACCATTCTGCCCTGCTGTGGGCTTCCTGAGTCCTTTGCGACACAAAACCTGCTGTATTATTCTCCCTGAGTAGAAAAAGGAGCGAAAACTAAGAGCTGGCATCTTCTGGGGGTGCCTTGAGTCTATGGAGGTTGAGAACCACTCTCTGAGACTTTTGAGCCTTCAAAACCTCTGACATGGCAAGTTGCCAGCGCTGTCGCCACACACATCAGCACCCCCTTCCCCGTTCAGAGACCTTAAGGCCAGAAGCAAGTATCAGACCACCTTTTTTGAGCCGTACTGCGCGAGTTGCAGCATTTTGCCATGTTACTCGGTTCTGAGCTCGGTACCGCAGGAAAGCATCCAGCAGCAAGGCATCCAGGCTGGACTAGACGGCATCAACAACTACAGAAGCAGGGACCGATTTTTTTTGGCAGGCTTGCCACAAATTAGCCCCACATCTTTCGAATGCTGCTCTGATCCCTTTCCCCCACCTGATCTGCTGCTCTGCTTTCTGCTCCCTGCCCTGTATCCCTTGACCAAGCTGCTGCTCTGCTTTCTGCTGTGTACTCCCTGCCTGATCTGCTGCTCTGCTTTCTGGTTCCTTCCCCATCTGCTGCTGTGCTGCCTGCCCCCTCCCCAAAACTGCTGTGTGCCACACTCAAGCTGCCTGTGCCACCTGTAGCACTCATGCTGCGAGTGACCCACCCCTGAACTAGAGGGTCCACCACGTCCCATGGCAGTTTTTTCCAGTGGTCAAGCAGTCTGTTATAAGCATGGACTTTACTTTTAGTTTGAATTTGTCTAACTTCTCCCATTGAGACTTCTCGCATCTTCTTCCCGTATGTTAAAAGAGCTGTTTAGTATCTAGTAGCTCCCCATGAAGGTACGCAGACACCACAGTCACCTCTCCGCCTTTCTGATAAGCAGCGCAGTCCATTAAGCTTCAACTTCTCACTGGCAAACATCTCGTCACCACTCCCGTCCTTTCCAACCTTTTACAAAAAGCTACAGCATTGCGTGGGAATGGCCCAAATGTGAAGGAACTGCAGGTTTCCAGCTCCTCCCAATTAAAGGCCTCCAAATCCCCATTGACATGGCAGCTGGCTGCCATTTCCCCCGATCCACGTTTAATTGACTTCCCCTCATTTTGCAGATTTGGAATAGGACTCAGGGCAGAAAGACAGGCAGGTTTCTGGCCAATGTTAACCCCTTGAGCAGCCAGAAAGGCTTTCCTGAAGGTGAACCCAAGTGTCTGCCTGCCTGGGAAGGCACAAAGCAGCGAAAGTCAAGGAGCAGCCTTGGAGCTGGGGCTCTCCCATGTGGCAGTGCACCGTGCTGCGGGCCAATCCGCACAGTCCGAGGGGCCCCAGAACTGCGCTCTACAGCGGGAACGGCAAAAACAGCAAACAACAACATTTCTACCATTCTACTCACAATTTTGAGTCCAGGTTCAGGAGAAAGCCCAGTTTGTCATATTCTGAAAGACAAAAGCAGGAGACTTCATGTAAAAAAAAGCAGCTAGTGTCTCCTCCCCGTTGGGTTTACAGCAGTGCCTTGCTAGAAGGCACAAATATTTCTTATTGGAAATGACAACTGGAATTTACAGGGTGGTTAACAGCCTGTGCACACTCCCAAGCAACATTAATTAAATGCACTCATCAAATAATGCTCTGGATCTCCAGGGGAGCTTGTTAATTCCAAAGCCATTACAACTAGATGAGATATTTGCAGGGAAAGACTGAAACGCGCACCACGTAACACAGAGAATAAAGGCATAAGTAGAGCTTTCCCTGTTCGGAGTGGAACTGGTGTTGCCACCAACTCGTCCACCCAAATTCATGCCCTAGTCCTGAAAGCGGTACAGCTTTCCAGTGTCCCTTGGCAGTGCAGGACAACCCCACGTCTCCAGCTTTATGGTTAAGCAAACATTGCATGCACTGGGGTTGCTTACAGAGGCAGAAATGCTCCAGGTTAAGCTAGTAATGTGAGAACTGCAGAGACACAACGTTAAGGGCCTATAAGTCAGCCGGGTAGGACTTGTGCCTCTTATGAATAAACAGGGAACAGTTACAGATACTTTCCCAGTCAAAAGTATGTTTCTATGATTCCCGTACAGAGTTAAACAAAAAGTTTCCTGTATTTATAAATATCTTAAAGTAGTACATTTAGAAGATGAGAAGACACTGGTTGTAAAACAATGCTTCCTCTGAGAACTTGCCTAAGACATCCCAAGAACTTCAAGCTTTTATTATTTATCACTTATATGCTGGTCCGGCTGAGGGGCCAAGCATGAAGACACATTATCCTGTGCACAAGGGGTTATAAAAACACATTTAACAAGAAGATGGCCCCTGCTCCAAAGATATTGCCAGTCAGGACACAGCAAAAGCAATGAGGAACAAGAGCGCTCCCGTGGTCTGTGCCGACAGCCACGGCACTGTCTGATCGGTGAGAAATGGAAGAGGAAGCGGCTCTCACACACACACGCACACCAAGGGATGGGGCAGCTAAAGCAGTGTAACCACGAGGCTCCGGGAAGAGGTGGCCGACAAGACGGACTCCTGTACGTGGCCTGAAACGTCAATCCCACGGAAGCCGGTGAAAACACTGCTGTTGACTCCCATGTGACCTGGACGTCCTGCCTGGCAAACGGGAAGACTCTCACTCTCCAGCACGGGTGGTGCATTTCAGAGCTCCTGTAAGCTGAGCGCTCTGCAGTCTTCCACTCCCAGCATGGTCACGTGTGCCACCCTCCACCTCTGCTTCACGCACTTCCTCAACCACCTGGCCCCCTCTCCTTTCCTGCAAGCCCACGTCCCCCTTGTCCACGTTTCCCTGCCTTCTCACTCATGCTAGGAGCTCCGTGTGCCCACTCTTCTGTTCACCCGCCCACTACAAGCAGGGGCTCTGTGCACCCCATCGATCTCCCTTTTCATGTGCCAGGGGCTCTGCGTGTCGCCAGGTCCACCTGTCTGCTAAGTCCTTGGGCTCTCTTCCCCCATACCGGGGTAGCCAACCTGAGGCTCATCTGCCACCAGTGGCACAGGCAGCCTGCATGTGGCACATGGCAGGCCAGAGAGGGGACAGGCAGCAGACAGGGCAGGAAGCAGAAAGCAGCGCAGCAGAGCAGGCAGGAGATGATGATCAGGGAGGGCGCAGAGTTAATCTGTGGCATAACTGCCAAAAAGGTTGGCTACATTGCCTTACACTATTCTCTCCCTGTGCCAACAGCTCTATACATTTCACACTGCTTCCATACTAGGGTCCTACGTTAATCCTTCCTATACCGGCACATTTGTGCATCCCCATCCCCTCTGTGCCCCTTCATTTCTCCCGGACAGGCAGAAAAGAAACAGCGTCAGGAGATAAGTCATTAAGATGGAAGAGCCGGCAGAGGTGAGGTGGGAACGATGTTACACTGGAAGGCTTTAAAAGGTGCCAACCACCAGTCTGGATGTTCGTCAAAAATGAATGACCCATGAGCCAAATGCTAGGGCTCCGAGGGTCCCCTAAATCTCCTTTCCTTTTACCCCACGTTCTCCAAAGCAGTAGTAACGCTGCCTGCAGCCAGGCACCCAGCAGCCTGTGCACGCAGCACCTTGCTTCACCTGGCCAGCGAGGAAATCCTGGGAGCCGGATGCGCGTGGCTTGTTTGGAGCTTGCCCACAGTGGTGGAGGGGTGCGGGATGCTAATGGGGGGCCGGGGGCTTGCTCGGGGCTTTTATTGCTGCCTTTCATCTCCACCTCCTACTCTAAAATGACATCCACTCAGGACGTCAGCAGTTAGTAGTGTATCTCACAGCCTGTGCCCACACTGGGAGCAGCCTCAGGCTCCTTCCTCTACGCTGAAAATGGCATCCACACTTGAAAAACCATCATTTTTCTGGGAGTTTGACAGGCCACAACCATCAGACGCCCTTTGCCATCGTGCTCCATGCTCCCGCTGTCTCCCAGCCAGCTGCCATTCCCTGCTGAGGATGCGAAGGAACAAACAAAACCAAGTCCTCCCCTCCCCGAATCCTAAGTGGAGCAGCAGGAACTACCAGAGCGAACAGAAAGCGCTCTGCTTCGCGGCTGGAGCAGTGCCCCGACATTTCTGCTACTTCTGCGTTTTATGAGGTATATTTCCAAAAGTGACATATTTAAAAATAAACAAAGATTAAGAAACTCTGCTCGTTTGGGTCAGACTCTCAGCATGGCTAAGTGCTTGGATTCAGAATAATTATTGCAGAAGTCTCTTTATTTTTCACCGCACTGCCTGCTGATATCGAGATGCTGCTAAAGAAAGCTTAAGCCTAAAACAGTAGTCTGTTTCGAAACGAACAGTGCAAGGCTGCAACAACAGCCTTCTCGGGGCTGCCTGCACACAGCCACGTCCTAATCCTGCAGCGTTTGGGTGACGCGCCCCTGGGCATGTGTACAACGACTGACCAGTCCCCTACCGCCCTCCCAACTCCAGCTCCCCAGGATACCACCAGCCCACCTCTGAGCATCATGAGCGTGTCGCACTGAACTGCTCTCTTCCACACTCTGCACTATTTTTGTTGATTTTTTTTGCTTCGTTTCCCTAACTCTGGGGTGCCTTGAGACCCTTTCAAGGATGCCTTAAGGTGCCCACATGTTAGCAGTAAGGTTTACAAACTTGATACACAAGATAAACCAGGAGATTTCAAACAGAAATCCATAGCTGCGGTCTTTCGGAGTTCTTTGCAATAGAAAAACTGCTCTATAATTTTTCTGTAGGCAAAAACAAGAGTGAAAACGAAGAGCTGGCATTTTCCAAGGGCCACCTCCAATCTGTCCAGGGTTGCCTCAAATCTAAAAAGACTGAGACCCACTGCCCTACAAGTTTGCACTATCCGATACTTAACAAATATTACTGATAAAGTTTTAACGATTCCATAAAATTGCACATGCTGTACACATAAGAAAATGCACTTCCACAAAATCAGTGAACTACGCCTAAAAAGGACATGCTTAGTACTCGTTTTCAACCTGTCAGCTCACTGTAGCAGCACAAGGGTGGATATGAAAGCAGTTTCAAGATATGTGAAAGCCTGTCACAAAGGAGATGGAGAAACACGGTTTTCCCTTGCCACAGAGCACAGGACAAGAGGCAGTGGGTTTAAAGGGACGTTAGGATCAAACTTCAGAAAAAACTTCCCATTGTCAAACCGAGAGAGAATGGAACAAGTTGCCCAGGGAAGCTGTGCAGTCGTCTCCCTGGGAGGTTTGCAAGAAGAGCCTGGGTGGGCATCTCTCTGGGATAGCTTAGAACAGGAGTTAGCAATTTATGGTCCAGGGGCTGGCACCAGCCTGCAGAGCGGTTTGATCCAACCTGTGAGGCTGGGAGGGGCGCAGGACGGGGGGGG